CAGTCACAACCGCGTGATCCTGAGGCTCCGGGTTCGATCCCAGGCGCCGGCGAGAAACAATGGGCAGAAATTCTTTCACCCTGATGCCCCCGTTACTCAACCATCCCTTCCCCTAGCTCCAACACCCCCCCCCACACACAGGTTATCTTGAGATGATTTCGGGGCTTTAGTGTCCCCGCGGCCCGGTCCTCGACCTGCCCTCCACCTCCAGGAAGCAGCCCGTGACAGCTGACTAACTCCCAGGTACCTATTTACTGCTAGATAACAGGGGCATCAGGGATGAAAGAATTTCTGCCCATTGTTTCTCGCCGGCGCCCGGGATCGAACCCGGGACCACAGGGATCACGCGTCCAGTGTTCTGCCCGCTCAGCCACCGGCTCCTGCTCCTGCGGGTGTAACACTGAGTGTTGTTACTGGAGCAGACACCCACCTCGGCAGACCTTCCCGGGGTGTGGCGGCTGTTGTAAGGTTGTTGGTAAGATCAATACATCAACAACCCGGATGACCGCGGGGATCATCCCACCACCCACCTCCCCCACACCCTCCACATGTTGTGAGGCCCAGGGGCCGCCCACCTGCTACTTGGTGTGTACGAGTTGCTGCTGCTCCTGCTTCTGCCGCTGCTACTGCTGCTGTTGCTGCTGCTCCTGCTGCTGTTGCTGCTGCTCCTGCTGCTGTTGCTGCTGCTCCTGCTACTACTACTGCTGCTGCTGCTGTTGCTGCTTCTGCCGCTGCTGCTGCTGCTTCTGTTGCTGCTCCTGCCGCTGCTGCTGCTGCTGTTGCTGTTGCTGCTTCTGCCGCTGCTGCTGCTGCTTCTGCCGCTGCTGCTGCTGCTTCTGTTGCTGCTCCTGCCGCTGCTGCTGTTGCTGCTGCTGCTGTTGCTGCTGCTGTTGCTGCTGTTGCTGCTGCTATTGCTGCTGCTATTGCTGCTGCTGCTGCTGTTGCTGCTGCTGCTGCTGCTGTTGCTGCTGCTGCTTCTGTTGCTGCTCCTGCTGCTGCTGCTTCTGTTGCTGCTCCTGCCGCTGCTGCTGCTTCTGTTGCTGTTGGTGCTGCTGCTGCTGCTGCTGCTGCTGATGTTGCTGCTGTTGCTGCTGATGCTGTTGCTGCTGATGCTGTTGCTGCTGCTGTTGCTGCTGCTGCTGCTGTTGCCGCTGCTGTTGCCGCTGCTGTTGCTGCTGTTGCTGCTGCTGCTGCTGCTGCTGCTCCTGCTGCTGTTACTGCTGCTTCTGTTGCTGCTCCTGCCGCTGCTGCTGTTGCTGCTGCTATTGCTGCTGCTGCTTCTGTTGCTGCTGCTGTTGCTGCTGCTGATGCTGCTGCTGTTGCTGCTGCTATTGCTGCTGCTGCTGCTGCTGCTGCTGTTGCTGCTGCTGCTGCTGCTGTTGCTTCTGTTGCTGCTCCTGCTGCTGCTGCTTCTGTTGCTGCTCCTGCCGCTGCTGCTGATTCTGTTGCTGTTGGTGCTGCTGCTGCTGCTGATGCTGCTTGCTGCTGTTGCTGCTGCCGCTGCTGTTACTTTAAATGTCTATATTACTGCCACCGCCAGTAATCCGACAATCTCTAGTTAAATATTATAAGGAAATAATGTTCACGGATCTTGTTATACTCAAATTCTGTCAGTTGAAATGTAACCAATCACAGGCTAGTAGGCCTCTGACGTCATGCCAGACAGAGGAGCATCAAGCCATGCTCCCAGCAGCCTCAGTTATCCTCACAGACTCAGAGTAAAAGGACCTCGGCTAGGCCAGATATATACCTTGTTGCCTCACTCAATAAATATAAACAGAAGCGACTACTGTGTGTACATTCTACCCGAACAAGGCAAACGAATAATCTGACCCATCTTCCATATTGCTATCCGAACACTGGAAACAAAATACGGAATATGCCTAAGGACAAACATATACCAAAGCGGCAGACAACACAAACTTGGTCTTTGCACTTGGAGACTGTAAAGCCTTTAGGAAACACCGTCCCCTATCTTATTATAGGTCATGAGGCCACTACTCCCTCGGCCCGGTCTCCGACTAGGGCTTCTGGGATGGATATTTTATCCCCGTACAAAAATTTACAGCGAGAGTAATTTGAAGGGAAACTGGAAGAAATTCTTTACATCCAATGGAAGAATGTGGTACCAACTCGAGAGAAATGTTCAACATTCAGTTGGAATTGTGAACCCCGGAGAGAATATATATATATATACATTCACTGGAAAATATTTAAAATCCAATAGGAGAATGTCAAAGTGAACATTTTACAATCAGGAAAATGGCCTGTCAATGGGGAAAATCCCAATACTGTCAGGAATTGTCAATATTCGCGTTGCTAGATGAAAACAGATAAGTAAATGGAGCTTAGGGGGAGGAAGAATTACTCTATTCAAATGGGAATTCTGGAAGGGAGGCAGATAAGGTCTTGTTATGAGCGAAGGTTTGAGTCAATGGCAGGACACCCGCCTCCACCTGAAGGACCATTCCACCCCATCCCACTCTCCCTCACATTCACACAGCTTAACAGATGAGTAATTTAATGTTAGATCATTTTTGTTATATACGATGAATCATCCCAGAGAATCCAAAGAACATTACGTCAACAAACTCAAAGGAAATATCAGATTACAATTTTTTTGGAGTGTGTCGGTTGTTCAACTCTACGGACACCTTCAGCCGAGTTTCAGTACCAGAGAAATTTAATTATTGTAGGTTACCTTGAGGTGATTCCGGGGCCGCTGTAGGTCAGACCCGCTGCCCCTTATACTCGATAATTCTCTACCACAACACTACCACACAACCACAACTACCTCCTCCTCTCCCCTATCTATAAGAGTCTTAAGGACATTTTTAAGTACAGTACTCCTTCAGCATCAGAGAAATGAACAGCAGACGTGTATACCACATTCACAGGGCGCTGACACGCGACCAAATGGACAAATGACTTGTACATTCCAAGTAATTTGTGGTATAACATACTGCTCTATAAAGCCTATATATATACACGAGGGTTATGGGGACACGACACATGCGGTCGTCGCAGGGAGGAGAGTCGTCGTCGTTCAGCACCACCACTGTCAACTCTCCTGGGAGAAGGTCTATATAAATAAACACGTGATCCTGAGACTTGTCGCCTCCTCGGTAATGTGCGGGACGACCATCATCAACACAATTACGTTTGTTGACCAGACCACACACTAGAAAGTGAAGAGACGACGACGTTTCGGTCCGTCCTGGACCATTCTCAGATTGATTGTGAATGGTCTCACAATCTCACATTCGACTTGAGAATGGTCCAGGACGGACCGAAACGTCGTCGTTCCTTCACTTTCTAGTGTGTGGTCTGGTCAACATATTTCAGCCACGTTATTGTGACTCCTCGTCTGCACAGTTCGGTTTCTTCTATGACGTGTAAGGTGAACACTCACCCAGAGTAAATGTTACCGATAATCTCCACTAAAACCTTCGAGAAAATATTATTATGATCGATTATTCCATTTTCTGACGCTAAATGCGAGGGTCATCCACGCTTCATACAATAATCTATTATAAATTTAAGGCGGAATTAGGAAATAAGTTAATGGAGCTAAAGGATAGGAAGTAGTTGCGTGATAATCTTGAGCCAGATGCCGGGGCCCAAGAGATAGCACCCCCTTCCCTCGCGATTGTTCTCACGTGTACACTCATCTCCCTCTGTGCTATCATTAGTATTTTTAAATAATTAACACCATAAACTATATTATTTGTAATGTATATCATTGTATATTGTATTTTATGATTTTGTAATATTAATATACTATTAAATATTTAGCATTATATATTTATCCTTTAATAATAATTAATATTTCTTTTATCTTTGAATAATCTTCTTATATTCTTTTCATATGTTAGTGTTAATTACAACCTTGAACAGCTTTACAAATTTATTTATGTAGGAGAATCAAGTTGTATAGAAGACTACAACCGCAGTACCAGGCGGTGAACCTACCCACAAAACATTTAATACAATAGTATACACAAAAATACACCCACACAACATTAAAAACAGCCAAAAAAAAACAAAAATGAACAGACAAAAGACGGTGAAATGAAGCATAAGAAGGAGGGAGGGGGGACAAAAACATGTTGATAGAGGGGGGACAAAAACATGTTGATGGAGAGGGACAAAAATATGGGGAGTTAAGGGGACAAAAACATGTTGATAGAGGGGGGACAAAAACATGTTGATGGAGAGGGGACAAAAATATGGGGAGTTAAGGGGACAAAAACATGTTGATAGAGGGGGGACAAAAACATGTTGATAGAGGGGGGACAAAACATGTTGATGGAGAGGGGACAAAAATATGGGGAGTTAAGGGGACAAAAACATGGGAGTTAAGGGGACAAAAACATGGGAGTTAAGGGGACAAAAACATGGGAGTTAAGGGACAAAAACATGGTGAGAGGACAAAAACATGATGATGGAGGGGTGACAAAAACATGATGATGGAGAGGGGACAAAAATATGATGATGGAGGGTGACAAAAACATGATGATGGAGGGGTGACAAAAACATGATGATGGAGGGGTGACAAAAACATGATGATGGAGGGGTGACAAAAACATGATGATGGAGGGGTGACAAAAACATGATGATGGAGGGGTGACAAAAACATGATGATGGAGGGGTGACAAAAACCATGATGATGGAGGGGGGACAAAAACCATGATGATGGAGGGGGGGACAAAAACATGATGATGGAGGGGTGACAAAAAACATGATGATGAAGGGGTGACAAAAACATGATGATGGAGGGGTGACAAAAACATGATGATGGAGGGGTGACAAAAACATGATGATGGAGGGGGGACAAAAACCATGATGATGGAGGGGTGACAAAAACCATGATGATGGAGGGGTGACAAAAACCATGATGATGGAGGGGTGACAAAAACATGATGATGGAGGGGTGACAAAAAACACGGTGAGAGGACAAAACCATAATGAGGGAGAGAGAGAGAGAAAGAGATACTTACCTCCCTCTCATTGTTGCCGAAGGAGATGCCCAGGTTGGGCATGGCCCGCAGGATGGCCACCAGGGATTGTATGGTGTTGGAGTACACCACCGGCCGGTACTGCTTGAAGTCCTCGCTCGTGAACCCGGACTCGTGGATGATCCTGCAAACACAACAACAAGTTACTTCCACAAGTGGATAAAAAAAAAAAACGATTGGCTAGTATATATACATTTTGCCATACACGATTCCTTAGACAGTTACGCGAGCACAGGTTATACGCGCATACAACACAATCATACCACCACCACACTATGTATATGTATACAACACCATATTTAATCTATAATCTATTAGGGGAAAGGGGCCAGGAGGAGAAAAAGGTCAGAAAGAGGGGAAAAAGGGGTCAGGAGTTTCACCTTTCGATACTGCAGGATAAGCTACCTTACGAGTTTCCCCCCTGGAACATTACCCGCCAATCGGTTTACAGCCAGTTCTCTAATTACTGCCGAGTGCACATGGGCGAACAGTTAAGGACTGGCACACAGTAAATCCTCCCCGGGTCAGGCCTCGAACCCGGTAGAAATGATTCGCGCGGCGCGGGCGAACGTACCGCCATTGCGCCACAGGGACTGTTGGGAGATGGTAGGGGGTGGAGACAGACTTAAGGGGGAAGGGAGGGGACAGACTTGTGGGGGGAGAGGGGGGAGAGGGGAGGGGACATGTTGGCCGCCAGGAGAAGGCTGTAAATAGCTCCAAGACACAATGGCGCTTCTCTCCCTCGAGTGCTTCATTATTTTACATAAATGCTCCACCTATTTCATCACGCAACCGCCGCCCGCTACTTGGGTGTGGGCGGGTGGTCGGAGGGAACGTGGGCGGGTGGGGGTGGGGGGGGGGAAGGGGGTTAGAAGTTAAGGGTGAAATAAAGAATGTGGGTTGAAGTGGGGTAGAGGTTAAGGGTGAAATAAAGCCTGTGAGCGGGCACAGTTTGGCAGCTGGGGTGGGGCGGGGGAGGGAGATGCCGTCTCCAGAGAGCCGGGCGGCCAGCGTCACAAGCAAGCTACAGTAGTGTACAGGGTGGGGTGTGCTCGGGGTGCCGTGAATCAATACCCATTCCCGGCCTGTCCCAGGCTCTCCCTCCCTCCCTCCCTGGTTCACAGTCACCCATAGTCTCCCTCCCTCCCTCCCTGGTTCACAGTTACCCATAGTCTCCCTCCCTCCCTGGTTCACAGTCACCCATAGTCTCCCTCCCTCCCTGGTTCACAGTCACCCATAGTCTCCCTCCCTCCCTCCCTGGTTCACAGTCACCCATAGTCTCCCTCCCTCCCTCCCTGGTTCACAGTCACCCATAACCCCCCTCCCTCCCTGGTTCACAGTTACCCATAGTCTCCCTCCCTCCCTGGTTCACAGTCACCCATAGTCTCCCTCCCTCCCTGGTTCACAGTTACCCATAGTCTCCCTCCCTCCCTCCCTGGTTCACAGTCACCCTCCCTCCCTGGTTCACAGTCACCCTCCCTCCCTGGTTCACAGTCACCCATAGTCTCCCTCCCTCCCTGGTTCACAGTCACCCATAGTCTCCCTCCCTCCCTCCCTCCCTGGTTCACAGTCACCCATAGTCTCCCTCCCTCCCTCCCTGGTTCACAGTTACCCATAGCCTCCCTCCCTCCCTCCCTGGTTCACAGTCACCCATAGTCTCCCTCCCTCCCTCCCTGGTTCACAGTCACCCTCCCTCCCTGGTTCACAGTCACCCATAGTCTCCCTCCCTCCCTGGTTCACAGTCACCCATAGCCTCCCTCCCTCCCTGGTTCACAGTCACCCATAGTCTCCCTCCCTCCCTCCCTGGTTCACAGTCACCCATAGTCTCCCTCCCTCCCTCCCTGGTTCACAGTCACCCTCCCTCCCTGGTTCACAGTCACCCATAGTCTCCCTCCCTCCCTCCCTGGTTCACAGTTACCCATAGTCTCCCTTCCTCCCTGGTTCACAGTCACCCATAGTCTCCCTCCCTCCCTGGTTCACAGTCACCCATAGTCTCCCTCCCTCCCTCCCTGGTTCACAGTTACCCATAGTCTCCCTCCCTCCCTGGTTCACAGTCACCCATAGCCTCCCTCCCTCCCTCCCTCCCTGGTTCACAGTCACCCATAGTCTCCCTCCCTCCCTCCCTGGTTCACAGTCACCCATAGTCTCCCTCCCTCCCTCCCTGGTTCACAGTCACCCTCCCTCCCTGGTTCACAGTCACCCATGACCCCCCTCCCTCCTCCCTGGTTCACAGTCACCCTCCCTCCCTGGTTCACAGTCACCCATAGTCTCCCTCCCTCCCTCCCTGGTTCACAGTCCACCCATAGTCTCCCTCCCTCCCTCCCTGGTTCACAGTCACCCATAGTCTCCCTCCCTCCCTGGTTCACAGTCACCCATAGTCTCCCTCCCTCCCTCCCTGGTTCACAGTCACCCATAGTCTCCCTCCCTCCCTCCCTGGTTCACAGTCACCCATAGTCTCCCTCCCTCCCTCCCTGGTTCATAGTCTCCCTCCCTCCCTGGTTCATAGTCTCCCTCCCTCCCTCCCTGGTTCACAGTCACCCATAGTCTCCCTCCCTCCCTCCCTGGTTCACAGTCACCCATAGTCTCCCTCCCTCCCTCCCTGGTTCACAGTCACCCATAGTCTCCCTCCCTCCCTGGTTCACAGTCACCCATAGTCTCCCTCCCTCCCTCCCTGGTTCACAGTCACCCATAGTCTCCCTCCCTCCCTCCCTGGTTCACAGTCACCCATAGTCTCCCTCCCTCCCTCCCTGGTTCACAGTCACCCATAGTCTCCCTCCCTCCCTCCCTGGTTCACAGTCACCCATAGTCTCCCTCCCTCCCTCCCTGGTTCACAGTCACCCTCCCTCCCTGGTTCACAGTCACCCATAGTCTCCCTCCCTCCCTCCCTGGTTCACAGTCACCCATAGTCTCCCTCCCTCCCTCCCTGGTTCACAGTCACCCATGACCCCCCTCCCTCCCTGGTTCACAGTCACCCATAACCCCCCTCCCTCCCTGGTTCACAGTCACCCATAACCCCCCTCCCTCCCTGGTTCACAGTTACCCATAGCCTCCCTCCCTCCCTGGTTCACAGTTACCCATAGCCTCCCTCCCTCCCTGGTTCACAGTTACCCATAACCTCCCTCCCTCCCTGGTTCACAGTCACCCATAACCCCCCTCCCTCCCTGGTTCACAGTCACCCATAGCCTCCCCCCCTCCCTCCCTGGTTCACACCCTCACCTTTAACCTCTTCTCTGGCTCATAAAATCCTCTTTAACTTTCTTCCCTCTCTCTCCCTGACTGACATAATCACCCTTACCCTTTTCACCCTCTATCTATATTCTTGTCTTGGTAATTACCCTTTCATCCCAGATAGAGCCCAAACTGTACCTGCAAAGGGTCCCGGATGAGCCCTTCTATGATACCTATTGCCAACAGCAACAGCCTCAGAGCTCACACCATCAACCACGATACATGGTCAGATAAGATGAGGCGGGAGCGCTGACCCTCGGACCGCAGACCTGCTACAAGGCAGGCAGTCCCGTGCCCTCCATCTCACACCTGCATGCTTCCCTCCACACCCCCCCCCCCCACCACCATCACCGCCCACCACCATCACCGCCCCCCCACCACCATCACCGCCCCCCCACCACCATCACCGCCCCCCCCACCACCATCACCGCCCCCCCACCACCATCACCGCCCACCACCATCACCGCCCACCACCATCACCGCCCCCCCACCACCATCACCGCCCCCCCACCACCATCACCGCCCCCCCACCACCATCACCGCCCCCCCACCACCATCACCGCCCCCCCACCACCATCACCGCCCACCAGCACCATGAATGAACCTTCTCAACACAATTTCTGCAGTCGTTATAATTCTCATCTTAAGTGCTGGCGGTCCACACACACACACACACACACACACACACACACACACACACACACACACACACACACACACACACACACACACACACACACACACACACACACACACACAGTTGCAACAGGTATGGCGAGGGACAATTCTAGCAGCATTAAGGTTCCAAACCTCCACCAGTCTCTCGCTCTGAACATAAGGGGTCACAACTACCCAACCTCTCACAGTTTTCTAGAACCTGATCAGCACCTGTGAAGGACCTCATCAAGGAGCTTGATAAAGGATACCAGATAAACCAGGCTTTGATTCATACGACAGGCTGCGAGCAGCTGCGTCTAAATAGCCTGGTTGACCAGACCACCAACCATGAGGCAGAGACTGGGCCGCGGGTCCGCTGCTCCTCGGAACCAACGCAAGGTAGTGTTGTATGCAGGTAGAGAGCAGATGATGGGGCAATGCAGGTGATCCAATATGCAGCCGGCGCTGGTGATAGAGCCCCGCGGCACACCACCCACGCCCACACCCACACCTCCACCCACACCCACGCCTCCACCCACACCCACGCCTCCACCCACATACACACCCACACAGCCAAGCACCACATTCACAGTCCTCGCTCTAACCATACATCTGGCTGTGTCATGGTATAGTGTCTCGCCTAGTATGTTTCGTGGCGTGGAACTCCAGCCATAATGTCTGCCACAAGCCATGAGTGGCAGCTTCTTCTGTATTAATTTTGTCCACACAATGGAGGAGGTGCAAGGTGGTGCTCCACGAGATGGGGGGGGGGGAATGACTGTACACCTAAGGAAGATCACCACCAACAAAACGACGCCTAACCAGTGAAGATAGACTCAAGGAAGCAACTTGTAACAGGTGGTATGCACAGGTAAGGTGAAACACCTGTGTACTAAGCCTCAGCACCTGTGCTGCTCACCTGTAAATCATAAACGATGAAGGCGAGGCTGATAATGAGGGAGCAGTCTGCCCAAGCCATTTTAGACATTACAAGAAATTATGACGCGGGCGGGGGAGGGAGGGGCGGCTACTCCCACCCATACTGTAATTACAAAATCGAGAGTTGTTGCATCAGACGCCAGACGGTTGAAAAGGCGGGGCCCAAGAATTGAAGCTCGGTGCTGCAAACTGTCAGGTAAAAACACCATCGGGCGCGAGCAGGAGCGCGCGCGCACATTTGGACACCCACACTCCCTCCCCCACTAACCGTCTTGCGCTAATGGCTATAGGGAAGACACT